GTCAAGCCGTGTCTGGGAGGCCATTCACCAGTCAGTCTCCCTGTCTTGCCTTCCCTGCTCAGCTTCTCCTCCCAGCAAGCATTCAATCCACTTCACTAACCTTTCCTCGGAAGTTCAGTGTTCTTAAATTTTCATTTGTGTCTGCTTCAACAAGAGACACGACAGCCTACTAAACAGACTTTTTCCTGTTCTAAAAAGGGTGGCTAAGGCTCAAAGTTGAGAACCAAGGCACTGTGTCTCTTGTGCTTTCTGGGAGATACCAGAACTGGCCTTACCACTGTCTTCTTGAACCTCAGGCAATGTAAGAAGAGCACTACTAGGAGAATGGAAGTTGGGGTTTTTTTTGAGAATGCTTTATTCTTTTGGGGATAGTGTAAGAGAATACTTGTCTCTGAAAACAAGGGAGAGACGTTTAGAGTAATGTCTGATACTCTCAGAGCACTTTCTTGGTGCTAAATGCCACTGTACTCATGTTCCATGTATTAACTCATTTACTCCTTACAACAAGGAAGATGTATTCGATCATCCCCTGTTTACAAATGAGGAAGGACTATGAGACACATAGAAGTTAAGTGAGGTGCCCAAAGGCCACAGCTAATACGATGGGTAACTGGGCTTTGAAACCATTCTTTGGAGTCTGTATCTTAACCATGATACGTACTGTGTCAAGAGACTTTCTTATAAAGATGGAGGTTCCTGCAGAAGGAGCCATCGTAAACCTAGTGTTCTATCTAGCTGGCTGAACAGAAGTTGTGATGCTCAGATTATTGCAATTGTCTTTAATTAATTATTTTGGTACTGTAACTTAGGTTTATATTTCAATAGCACATGAGGCTTTCTACTCCCGTAAAGATTTACACCCTCGGAAACCCTGTACAGGGTCGCTATGGGTCGGAACCGACTCGATGGCACTTAACAACAACAACAACAGCACCCACATGCTAAAAAAGAAAAAGGATACAATTTAATTATATGTGATATAAATATCACATAATTTGTGCATTGTTTGCAAAAATTGCTAGGTTGTATGTAATAAGGCATTTTCAACCATGAGATTAGAATTCAGAAAGTAATTTAGTAATAATGTGTTGTATAGTGCTGTTGAGTCAGTTTCCACTCTTGCATGGGGTTTCAAAGGAGCGGCTGATGGGTTTGAAACACTGATCTTGTAGTTAGCAGCTCAGTGCTTAGCCTACAGCACCACACAAGTAACTTGTGAATAAGAACAAAGAAATTCATTTTTCCACAGATCATGCATATGAACATTTCTGTTTTAATTTAAGGACATCAAAATGTAATTTTTGGGTTGAGCAAGTTATTATATACATATGATATTTCATATAAATTAAATAATATATATTTTATATATACATATACATATGTTGGTGTCCTAGTGTGGCACTGTATGATAAGCATCAGACTGCTACCCACAAGGTTGGTGGTTCAAACCTACTAGCCAATCCTTGGAAACCCTATACAGGATCACTATGAGTCAGAACCAGCCTGAAGTCACTTAAGAACAGCAACAGTAATCCATGTATTGCATCCAGGAACAGTTATCTAGGATGTCTGTCATCTGTTTTGTTACCTATGATACACACACATACACACTCTATGGAGGCCTGGTGTGGTGCTGTGGGTTAATGCGCTGAACTGCCAAATCAGTTTGATCCTCAAGTCAGCAGTTCAAATTCACCAGCTCCTCCTCAGAAACCCTATACAGGGTCGCTATGGGTTGGAACGAACTTGTCAGCACTTAATAACAACACTCTCTAAAATTGTTGACTGCACCCTGTCCTCCAAAACCTTATAGTTAGACCTGCTCTGATCTTGGTTTTTGAATTTCCTACTAACTGATTTCTTGCCTTACTCCTTGGTGATTTCTTGTTGCCTAAAGCCTGTTCCCCAGCACTCTTAACACAGAAATTGGCTTTTCAGTGCTTAGGCCCGAGACCTCTCATGTTTAGTGACTCAGTCCCAGTAACAAAGACTTGATTGGCTGCCTCCTGCCAGGTATTTGATATTGGAATGTGTTCTGATAACCTGCTCTGATTGTATTTTAATAGATGCCCTTGATCTTAAACTTGGCTTGGAATTTGAGGTAACCTCTGTCCAGAGGGCAGATAGTGACGGGCAACTTAGATATTGGCTACCTAAAGTGAGGGGGTAATAAAGGCACGAAGTGACTGGCTTACAAGGTTTTAAGAGGGAGTTTAGTTTAAGAATGAGTGAGGGAAGATAGAGTCCCCATTGAAGGGATTATAAGCATTATAATGAAACAAGGTGTATGATTTGTTGAATGTAAAACTGATGATCTGCCATGTAAACTTTCATTCAATTCACAATAAAAATTAAAAAAAAAAAAGAAGTACTCTCTGCCACAACATATGTTCACGCAGAGACTTGATAATCAATTGGGAAAGTCATTATAAAAGGAAACCAAGCGTTATAACAAGGGATTGGTGTTGAACCAAATGTCTATAAATGGTTATTTATAATTCATGACTCTACACATATAATAACATAAGGAGTCCTTAAAAAATCTGAATGTGATTTTTTTCTCTCTCTCTCATATGGTTTACAATCAACTAGATACCTTTGTCAAAGGAGCTCTGGTAGCATACTGGTTACGAATCAGGCTGCTAACTTCAGGGTCAGCAGTTCAAAACTACCAGCTGTTCCGTGGGAGAAAGATGACGGTTTCTGCTCCCATAAAGATTTATAGCCTCGGAAACCCTACGGAAACTCATACAGGGTCGCTATGAGTCGGAATTCCGACTCCACGGCACATAACAACAACAACCTTAACACAATGTGAAAATTCAAAACTTAAAAAGGTGTTTTTGAATGCACAGTAGTGATAAATAACCCAGACTTTGAGGTCAGGAAATATTTCCTGAAAGAAGTGAGGATTACACTGGCATCTGGCAGATAACTAGTAGGAGTTACTCCAGGACCATACTAGAGTGGTAGTGGTGGTGGTGGTTATATGCCGCAGAGTTGGTTTCCACTCACAGTGACTCTGTATAGGGTTTCCAAGGCTGTGAACTTCATCTTTCTCCCGTGGAACAGCTGGTAGTTTCGAACTGCTGACCTTGAGATTAGCAGCCTGACTGGTAACCACTAAGCTCTAGAGCTCCTAAGACTAGAGTAGCATAGAGAAAAATATTCCAAATAGACGAAAGAAGTATTTCAAAGTTCTAAAGACTCAGGAAAGCAGGATGCTTTTAGGAAATTGAAACAAGTTTAGTGTTTCTTTGTATTAGTTATTAGTCAAGTTGTTTGGGCTATGACTTCAGTGGTTTGTGCCCAACACTAGAGTAGTTTCTGTTCTATATGCAATCTAATGTCACATGTATAATGTATTAACCTTATATAATTTAATATAATGTAACAATTACTTGAAAGGAGAGTTTCTTAGGGTGTGGTCTGGCATCAGACTATGAATAGATTATTTTGGCAGAACTCATTCAATTCTTCACACTTATTGTTGGCTGACCTGCAGATCTTATGATGAAAACCTTTGGAAGTCTCCAGCTAGCTGCCTGACCTACTTTTGGACTTGCCATGCATCATCCTCCTTCCCACATTCGCACGCACCTCCAACAATACCCAATCTGTGAGCAAGTAGAAGTCTCCAGCCTGTTGCATGAGCTGTGGATTTTGGAATTTCCATAATTGCATAAGCCAGTCCCTTGAAGTGTCCAGTTAATTGACCAAGATAGACACATAGGAAGAAAAATTGTAATACATCATGGTAGTGCTAAAGTCACAAAACAAAAATAAGAAACAAATTGTTTCTGTTGAGTTGATTCTGATTCATGGAGATTCCATATGTGACAGAGTAGAATTGTGCTCCCAAGGGTTTTCAGTACTGATTTTTCAAAAGTAGATCACCAGGCTTTTATGCCAATAAGCCTCTGGGTAGATTCAAACAGGCAACCTTTAGATTAGCAGCAAGTGCATTAACCATTTGTACCATCCGGGAACTGTAGAGCTAATGTGGACATAAAAAAGAGTAATCTAGATGTGATCCTTTTTGTTTCTCACAACTGTTGTTTATTTCCTAATGTGTTCAGTTTTAAGATCATTTAGTGTTAGGAACGAAATATTGGCCTAATCTAAAGAAAAATTACTATATGATAAAAGATATACACAGGGAAATTGTTTATTTTACTAAATTATTCTGAATTTTCCCTTTCTGGACCTTTTGATTCTATTACCTTATTTGCCACTCTAAAGCTCACTAGAATTTCAGAAGAAAAACTATATAAATATAACAAGAAAAGGTTAATAAATAAATACAAGGCTCAACTATGAAATTTCACAATTATAATGTGCCACTTGAACACTAGCAATTGGAGTTCTAGTGTGGTGCTGTAGGATAAGCACTGGACTGCAACTACAAGGTTGACGGTTCAAACTTACCAGCCACTCCTTGGAAAACTTATACAAGGTCACTATGAGTTGGAACTGAGTAGATGGCACTTAACAACAAAATGAGGGAGCTTCAAAAAGTCAATGGAATTAAAAGATAATGGAATTTTTCCACAAATTTTTGAAGCCCCCTTGTATTTAAGCCATCTCGTGTCTTGTTGTTTTATTAAACTATAAACATTAAGAGACAGTTATCATTTGTATCAGATATCAGAAGTCTTGTTGTGGAGGCATAGGATAAGCACTGGACCACAATTCGGTTTCAATAGCAATATCAGCGGTTCAAACTCAGCAGCCACTTCTTGGAAACCCTATACAGGGTCACTATGAGTCAGAACTGACTCCACAGCACTTAACAACAACAACAATTAGAGATCAACTATAGAGCGAATAGGCAGAAAAAGATAATATGTAGAATACATTTTAAATACTTCACTTCACTTGTTGCTGGAAAAAGATAAGCTAAACCTAGAATGAACAAGTGACTAGAAGTAATGAGCACCATCATTGTATGTGAGCGTACATATAAACTGTTAAAATGCTTATTAAAAATAGATTCTGACCTGCATATTGCTTCTTCCCTCCAAGGTCAATGACACTATTCTCTTCTCCTCTATCTAGAAACTGAATTTCCTTCTCATGCAAAAGGTGAGCGATCTTGGCCTGTTGAAGTTTGACACGGGTCTCTAGCAGGTGCACCTGGGCTCTGAGCCGTGCCTGTTCCCCGAGACAGTCCTCAAGAGCCTGCAGAATGAATTTTCATGGAAAATAAATGTTCATAGTAAACTATATTAACCAATGAAACAATTTTTGTCCCCAACCTCTATTTTGGAATGTTTTTCAAACCTGAAAGTAGTTTTTAAAAATTCTAATACTATTTGCTAAGGAGCTCTGGTAGCGCAGTGGTTACGAATTGGGCTGCGAGCCGCAAGGTCAGCAGTTCGAAACTACCAGCTGTTCTGTGGGAGAAAGATGAGGCTTTCTGCTCC